TCGTCAACGTCGATGCCGTGGTCGCCTTCGCGCCGAGCCACCGGAGTAGCCACCAAGGCACTTCGCCGTGCACATGGGCAAGCACCAACTGTGGCAAAGTGATCTGACAAGATGCCGCTGCCGCCATCTCCGCTGATGTAAGTAGGGTGTCCCACCTATCATCCACACCCACACACACCCCACACACACAATGCATGGTATGCTTTAGAAAATGCTGGGTACACCCGACTAGTGTACACAGAGAGCTAAAAATACATCTTTCTAGCTTAGAAAATTTCCTAGAAAATTTGTAAATAAACTAGATGCATTAGGGAATTTAATCATGTAGTTTGCACATATTTTCATACACCAAAAAATGCATATAAATTTCCACCTAGCAAAATAGCTATAGAATAAACTTCTAAAATATATAACTTTTAAACCCTAACTCCTTTTTACATGAAACCACCTCTAAAATTCATCTAAAATCTAGCTCTCTCATTTGCACCTGGTACCACCATATTGTTCTATGTTTGCTTTTGCCCTTTCTTTTATGGTTGGCGGTAGTCTTATTTGATCGATACGCCCGACAGACGATGGTAATCGTCCAGAGGACGAGGACCTAGATTTTGTAGACACGGTTTCCTATTTTGTAGGATTCCTATTTTTTATTCCTCTTTTCTCGTAGGATTCCTATTTTGTGTGCCAAATCTAATATTACCAGTTGAGCACTATGGTAGGATTCCAGCATTCTAAGATTCCTCTTTTCTAGGATTCCTCTTTTCTCGTAGGATTCCTGTTTTCTAGGAATCTGTTTTATAGTATTCCTGTTTTCTGATAGGATTCCTTTTTTTACGTGTATGTTCTTTTCTGGTGATTCCTGCTCCTTTTGCTTTTATACATGTATGTTACTGTTATGCAATCATGTTAGAATAAGTCTGTGCATCTATGCTCCTCTAGGATCTATTTGACAGACATTATTATAGTGGATACATAGGATTCCTGTTTATGGAGTGGATTCCTTTTTTTCTAGGATTCCTATTTTCTCTTAGGTTTCGTGTTTTGTAGGATTGCACTTTTCTTTTTCCTCTTTTCTCGTAGGATTCCTGTTTTGTGTGCCAAATCTAATATTACCAGTTGAGTACTCTGGTAGGATTTCCGCATTCTAGGATTCTTGTTTTCTAGAATTCCTCTTTTCTCGTAGGATTCCTGTTTTCAAGGATTCCTTTATAATAGGATTCCTGTTTTGTAGGATAAATCTTTTCTAGAAGGATTCCTGTTCTCGTAGGATTCCTGTTTTTTGTAAATATATAACATCTTTTTTGAGATAATAAAATATATAACATCATGCTAGAATAAGTATGTGTATCTGTGCTCCTTTAGGATCTTTTTGATAGACATTATTATAGTGGATACATAGGATTCCTGTTTCTACATAAGATTCCTGTTTAAGGAGTGGATTCCTATTTTCTCTTAGGTTTCATGTTTTGTAGGATTCCTCTTCTCGTGTTCCTCTTTTCTTGTAGGATTCCTGTTTTGTGTGCCAAATCTAATATTACCAGTTGAGCACTCTGGTAGGATTCCTGCATTCTAGCATTCCCATTTTCTAGGATTCCTCTTATCTCGTAGGATTCCTTTTTTCTCGGATTCCTTTTTTATAGGATTTCTCTTTTCTAATAGGATTCCTGTTTTATTGGATTCCTCTTTTGTTTTTTTACATGTATGTTCTTTTCTGATGATTCCTGCTCCTTTTGCTTTTATACATGTATGTTATTGTTATGCAATCATCATTAGAATAAGTATGTGCATCTGTGCTCCTTTAGGATCTTTTTGACAACCATTATTGTAGTGGATACATAGGATTCTTGTTTCTACATAGGATTCCTGTTTTGTAGGATTCCTATTTTCTTGTTCCTCTTTTCTTGTAGGATTTCTATTTTGTGTGCCAAATCTAATATTACTAGTTGAGCACTCTAGTAGGATTCCCGCATTCTAAGATTCCTCTTTTCTAGGATTCCTCTTTTCTCGTAGGATTCCTGTTTTCTGATAGAATTCCTCTTTTTGTTTTTTTACATGTTTGTTCTTTTCTAGTGATTCATGCTCCTTTTGCTTTTATACTTGTATGTTACTGTTATGCAGTCATGCTAGAATAAGTTTGTGCATCTATACTCCTCTAGGATCTTTTTGACAGACATTATTATAGTGGATACATAGGATTCCTGTTTCTACTTAGGATTCCTGTTTATGGAGTGGATTCCTTTTTCTAGGATTCCTATTTTCTCTTAGGTTTGGTGTTTTGTAGGATTCCTCTTTTCTTGTTCATCTTTTCTTATAGGATTCCTGTTTTCTAGGATTCCTTTTTTATAGGATTCCTGTTTTCTAATAGGATTCCTGTTTTGTAGGATTACTCTTTTTGGTTGGATTCCTCTTTTGTTTTTTACATGTATGTTCTTTTTGGTGATTCTTGCTCCTTTTGCTTTTATACATGTATGTTCTTGTTATGCAAATATACAAAATCATGCTAGAATAAGTATGTGCATCTATGCTCCTTTAGGATCTTTTTGACAGCCATTATTGTAGTGGGTACATAGGATTTCTGTTTTACAGAGTGGATTCCTTTTTCTACATAGGATTCCAGTTTATGCTTTGGATTCTTGTTTCTACATAGGATTCCTAGCTGTTTCTACATAGGTATCTTCCACAAATTCAGCAAACTGGAAACCATATTCTGCTGTGTCCCGTAGGTATTCTTCTGTACACTAACCAATATTTGGCTCCAAAATGTCTGATTGCCATATTCTGCTGTACCCCGAAGCTATATCCACACAGCAAGTGGTGCAGGTATGATGGTAAAAGCGAGAGAGGGAGGATAGATAAACTCCCACAGGATTTTATCACCATCCACAGTTTTATCATCATCTTCCAGGATTTTATCATCATACTGTATTTTATCAATGCTGTAGGGTTTTTGTCCTCAACTCATTTTAGCTGATAATGGAAGTTCAACGTATTTGCAAGGGAAATCCTGTACCGTGCACGTGATAGATGCCTGCACAGTTGTGATGTCTCTTGCTCATGACATTGAATTGGAGTCACAGAACACTTACTAATGTTGGTGATCCCCTTTGGTGCTCCAGATTTCACTGGGAACTTGACTAAAATAATTTCACATAAAAGGAAAAGAGACATTGTAGATCATGTTTCTACAAAGGATTCCTGTTGATGGAGTAGATTCATGTTTCTACAAAGGAATTCTGTTTATTTAGTAGATTCATGTTTCTAAAAAGGATTCCTGATTATGAAGTGGATTCATGTTTATACATAGGTTTCCTGTTTATGTACTCGATTCCTGTTTATACATAGGTTTAATCTTTCTACATGGTTTCCTGTTACTTCATTGGGTTCCTTTTTATGGAGTCGATTCCTGTTTCTACATAGGATTCCTCTTTCAATATAGGATTCCTGTTTATACATAGGATTCCTGATTATGGAGTAGATTGCTGTTTATACATTGGGTTCCCGATAATCCAAAGTATTCCTGTTGCTACTAGGATTCCTCTTTCAATATAGGGTTCCTGTTTATGGAGTCGATTCCTGTTTATATATAGGATTCCTGGTTATGGAGTAGATTGCGTGTACAGTACGTACATACATACGGCGCGTCTGCCTCTTCCTCTATGCTATTAGCTCCATCATCTTGTTTGCTATTAGCTCCATCAGCTGCTCCTGCTCTGCTCCCCGTTGTTCGCCTCCTCCACCCCCGACGGTCGGTCAGAACCCGAGTCGTCCGCCGCCGCCGCCGCCGCCGCCGTAGGCGCCACCAGCAGCAACCTTCTGCCTAGCCTCAGGCCTCTTGTATGCACATTAGAGATCCACCTGGAACTGAACCCACGTGCATGAAGGGTAGTCTGAAGGCCTTGCCAATTAACCATATCAAATGCTTTTGCAAAGTCCAGTTTGAGAACTAGCGTCGGTAGTTTTCTTTTGTGGCATACTTGAACTAACTCGGCTGCATAAACAAAACCTTCAGAGATTGATCCGCCCTTGATGAATCCTGTTTGATTCAAATCTATCAAATCATGAATTTGGCGATGTAGGCTTCGGGTCAGCACCTTGGATAGTATCTTGATATTGCAGTTCTGAAGAGCAATAGGCCTGAAGCAATCTACAGGAAAGGAACCATGCTTCTTGGGAATGAGGACCATATATGATCTGTTAATCCTTTCCAAATCTGCCTGACTTATATGATCTGTTAATCCTTTCCAAATCTGCCTAACTTTTGTGGAAAGCGTCCAAGAACTGCATTATGTCACTCTTGACAAGAATACGTGTACGTCGCTGCTGCTGGCCGCTGTTTCATAGCCAACATGTGGATGATCAGATGAAACAGGCACATGCCAGGAACTAAGCTTAACAGCCATGAAACTATCACGTCACCATCCCAGCAAGCGAAATAAAAAGAAACAAATCACACAGCCTATTTAATTTACAGAAAATAGTTTAGAACACGGACCCGCAGTCTTTAATAAGTAGTAAACCTTTGCATTGAAAGGATTCTGCGATGCCCATTAGCCTTGCGTGCCTTCTGTTATAAGATAAGAATCCTATAAGACTACGTTGGGCAACCCCGTTGTCAGCAGCCCTTCTCCAGCACTACTGCCGTCAACAACAGAAGAAGCGCCAGCTGAAGATGAGCTGCCCGAGCCGTCGAGCCCAGGAGAGCGCCGTCCCAGGAAGCCCAGTTCCCGTTTCTTCGGCCCAGCGTGGTCTAACGTCTAAGAGAGATTGTAGCCTGTCAAGTATATGTAATAAGTGAGGAGAAGAGAGAGGGAGAATGAAAAACTTGTAAACACTGAATACTCCCAAGCACTCATCCGTGATTTTCTCCCTCGTGCTGTCTTCTTCCTCCCCAAGCTGCTTTCCTCCCCCTCCTACCCTAACATCTGGTATCGGATTTGCCGGTCCTGGATCTCGATTCGCGTCACGAGCACTTTACCTTTCTACAGCGTGCTCGCGGTGCGATGGATCTGAACCTCAAGCTCGTGCTCGAAGACCTGAATCACCGTTTCGACGACCCAGATCAGAAGTGGGAGAAGCATTTCTCCAATCTCGAACGGGCGCATGCGGCTCGGGAGCAGGCGGATCTGCGCGTCGCCGCGCGCAAATCGTCTACCGCCGCCCTAGAATCAAACAGCACCGAGCTCGCCAAGGCGGACGTCACGACCTGCCTCGCCAACCTGGAGGCCGGCTACATCGGGCAGTCCAACGACGTCCACATGCGCCTCTCCGCCCTTGAATCCATCCGCGTCGACATGTTCGCCGAGACCGCGGATCGCGTGACGATGCTGGAGACGGCGGCTACGGATCTGGGCTCCTGGCGCCCAGACCCCGGAGGTCGAAGCTCTCATCAATGATCTCAGGCTGGAGATCCAGAAGATTGCCAAGACATGGGATCTGACGGCTCCTGCTTCGTCCACCCCTACGTCGTCGACAATTCCACCCGGGTTCTTGCTTCACCCCGTAGTAGCCCGGTCTACTTGGTGTCACCGCCCATGGGCCCAACGGGCACCGCGTTCCACCCTCGCCACGGGAGGTTGGGACCGGGTCGCTTGCGACTTCGTCCCATGTCCCGGCCAATGGTATGAACTCTGCTCGTTCCAATACCCGTGTTACTCAATTCGCTCCACCTCCTCGCCCACCATCGCCTCCGCCAGCACCTAATCCCAATCTGGGCCGCTTGCCTAAGCTCACCTTCCCACGCTTCAATGGCGACAACCCCAGCTCATAGCGTACGTTAGCTGAGGATTACTTTGCCATGTACGTCGTGGAGTCTCCGATGTGGATTCGAGTCTCCCGTCAACATTTCGATGGTCCGGCCAAAAGTTGGATCCATTCACTTGAGTCCCAGTTACTTCGTTGCTCTTGGGACGAGTTCTGCAAGCTGCTGAATGATCGGTTTGATCGTGACCAACACGAGCTCCTCATCCGCCAACTCTTTTCCATCAAACACACCACCACAGTCTCGTCTTATGTTGCCCAATTCGCTGAGTTGGTTGATCAGCTTGCTTCTTATTCCACCTCCACAGATCCATTATACTACACAATGTGCTTTATTGATGGTCTTAAGCCTGATATCAAAGCTGTTGTCTTAATGCAACGTCCAAAAAATTTCGATACTGCTTGCACCCTTGCATTGTTGCAGGAAGAGGTGGGCGTCCCGGCGGCTGCGCGGCCACCTCGCTCAGGTGATTGGTCTTCTACCAGGACATATCAGTCCTCCAAGTACTCGGCTCCTTCTCCACCACGTGCTGACAAGCCTACGGCTAATGCTGTCCCGGGCGACATTCCCGGCTCTTCTTCACCTGAATCCAAGCTTGCGGCAGTAAAAGCTTATCGGCGAGCAATGGGATTGTGCTTCAAGTGTGCAGGAAAATGGAGCAAAGACCACAAGTGCCCCCCGGAAATTCTGTTGGCGGTGGCGATTTATGGGATTCTGATGAGTTCTTGGAGTCTCCACCGGCTTCTCGGGAGGACGAACATGCGTCTGATCAAGTCTTCCTGGCTCTGTCCAAGGCGGCGACTGGGGGTTCGCCTGCTGTACCCACGGTTCAGTTCGAAGGCTCTATCTGTGATCAACCTGTGCTCATACTCGTTAACTCGGGAAGTTCTGCTTCTTTCATTAGCACCAAGATAGCCAACAAATTATCTGGTGTTCAGCTGAAGTCTGTACCTGGGTCTGTCCAAGTGGCTGGTGGGGGTGTTCTGCATAGCACTGGTACATTGCAGCAAGTGCCTTGGTCTGTTGGTCCTTGCTCGTTTGTATCTGATTTCAGGGTGTTGGACCTTCAAGCTTATGATATCATCGTGGGGATGGATTGGTTATCTTCTTACAGCCCAACACTGGGAACAGAAATGGATTGGGTTTCCTTTTCGCGGTCAGTACACGGTCTTACAAGGGATGACTTCTCAGCGCCCAGCCACTGTGTATCTTCAGGTCTGTCAGCTCTCTGACAACAGTGATGATACTTCAGCAACAGTACCTCTGCCTCGGAGATTGCTCAGTTGGACCAACAATTCCAACCACTGTTCGAACCCCCTACTTCTCTGCCACCATCACGGGCTTGTAACCATACCATTCCGTTGAATCCGGGTGCTCGTCCAGTGTTCATCCGGTCATATCGATACTCCCCTGCCTAGACTCAAAGATGAGATTGAGCGGCAGGTGGCTGACATGTTGGCTCAAGGTCTTATTCAACCAAGTTCAAGCAGTTTTTCGTTCCCAGTTCTACTTGTCAAGAAGAAAGACGGCACTTATCGCTTCTGTGTGGATTTTCGCCAACTTAATGCATTGACAACAGTCCAAGTTCCCAGTGCCGGTCTTTGATCGGTTGATGGATGAATTGTCTGAGGCCAGCTGGTTTCCAAACCTGGATCTACGCGCCGGTTTTCATCAGATCTTGCTGCAGCCCGGCGAAGAGTTCAATACGGCTTTCCAGGCTCACCTGGGACAGTACGAATTCCGGGTAATGGCCTTCGGCCTCACTGGTGCCCCCGGGACATTCCAAGGCGCCATGATTGCAACGCTAGCACCAGGGCTCCGTCGCTTCGTTATTGTCTTCTTCGATGACATATTGGTCTATAGCCGGACTTATGAAGAGCACATCTCTCATTTAACTCAAGTCTTCCAGTGGCTGTCTCATGATCAATGGAAGATTAAACTTGCCAAGTGTCAATTCGCTCAGCGTTCAGTATCCTATTTGGGCCATGTTATCAGTGAGAAAGGCTTGTCAACCGACCCAGCCAAGATTCAGGCGATTAGGGAGTAGGGACTGGCCAACACCGGCTACTGTCAAAGAGTTGCGTGGTTTTCTCGGTCTTGCAGGATACTACCGTAACTTCGTCAAACACTTCGGTATCATTGCTCGACCCCTGACTAATCTGCTGCGAAAGGATTCCCTATTTATCTGGACGCCTGAGCATAGCACAGGATTCCACACAAGCAAGGAAGCCCTCAGTTCAGACCCTGTGCTATCCCTGCCGGATTTCACTCAACCGTTTCACATAGAAACAGATGCTTCTGGCTCTGGCGTGGGCCCGGTGTTACAGCAAAATGGCCACCCTCTGGCCTTCTTAAGCAAAGCATTGGGACCTCAGAATCTCGGTCTTTCCACTTATGAGAAGGAATATCTTGCGATTGTTATGGCAGTTGACCAGTGGCGGCACTATTTGCTTCAAAATGAGTTTTTCATCCACACGGATCAGAAAAGTCTCATCCACCTCAACGAACAGCGCCTGCACACACCTTGGCAGCAGCGCGTGTTCACCAAGTTACTGGGTCTGAGGTACAAGATCGTCTATCGCCGCGGTGTGGAGAACAGCGTGGCTGACGCCCTTTCTCATCGCCGTCATACCGACGAGCTGTTGGCCATATCATCTCCATCCCATTCTTGGTTATCGCAGTTGATTGAATGGTATCCTACTGACGCCGAGGCCTCCAAGTTGCTGACTCAATTGGCATTAGACCCGGATTCCCACCCACCATTCACTCTGCATCAAGGTGTTATCCGTTACAAGAATCGGCTGTGGCTCGGCTCCAATACCGCGCTGCAGACCGCCGTCATCTCGGCATTGCATGATAGCCCGGTGGGTGGCCACTCAGGCGCGCCAGCAACTTATCAGAAGATCAAAAACCTGTTTTACTGGCCGTCCATGAAGCAAGCCATTCGCAAACATGTTCAGTCTTGTACAACCTGTATTCAGGCTAAGCCGGACTGTGCCAGTTACCCAGGTCTTCTCGAGCCATTGCATGTGACGACAGCAACTTGGGATGTTGTGTGCATGGATTTCATCGAAGGGTTGCCATTGTCAGGATCTTACAATGATATTCTGGTGGTCGTCGACAAATACTCTAAGTATGCTCATTTTGTGCCTCTTCGTCACCCTTTCTCGGCATCAGGCGTAGCCAAAGCTTTCATGGATAACATTTACAAGCTCCATGGCCTTCCATCCGCCATTATCTCGGATCGCGACAGAATATTCACCAGTAAGTTCTGACAGTCCTTGTTCAAGTTAGCTGGTACTTCCTTACACATGAGCTCTGCGTATCACCCCCAAAGCGATGGACAGACGGAACACGTAAACCAGTGCCTGGAGACCTTTCTCCGCTGCTTTGTCCATGCCTGCCCTACACGCTGGAGCGCCTGGATCTCAACAGCAGAGTATTGGTACAACACCAGCAGCCATTCCGCTCTGGGGCGCTCCCCGTTTGAGGTACTTTATGGCTTTGCTCCTAGGCACCTTGCTGTTCCTACTTCGGCTGATGTGTTACCTGAATTGGCCCGTTGGTTGGATGAACGTGAGCTCATGCATTAATTGGTCAGACAACATCTGCTGCGTGCTCAGTCCCGCAAGAAACACCAAGCAGATAAGCGCCGCTCCGAGCGCTCATTTGAAGTGGGAGATCTGGTATTCTTGAAGCTTCAACCTTATGTCTAGTCATCTGTGGCTCGCCGTGCTCATCAAAAGCTGGCATTCTGTTTTTTCGGGCCGTTCCGTGTGCTGGCTCGCATCGGGAAGGTGGCTTACCACTTACAGTTGCCGTCATCAGCCGCAATTCACCCCGTCTTCCATGTGTTGCAGCTTAAAGCCTCACCGGGTGATCAAGTAGTCTCATCTGTTCTGCCTAATGCTCTTACTGAGTTTCAGGTCCCTGCCGAGATCGTTCAACGCCGCTGGACAGCGGGTGCCCACCCTGTGCAAGAGGTGTTGGTCCGATGGTCCCAGATGCCGCCGTCGCTGGCCACCTGGGAGAACCTCGAGGAGCTTCGTCGCTGCTTTCCTCGAGCCCCATCATGGGGACATGCTGGCTCTGAAGAGGGAGGGGATGTTAGCAGCCCTTCTCCAGCACTACTGCCGTCAACAACAGAAGAAGCTGCCCGAGCCGTCGAGCCCAGGAGAGCGCCGGCTCGTGGAGGAACCAGCTTCGGCCCAAGACAGGACGTCGAGCCCAGGAGAGCGCCGTCCCAGGAAGCCCAGTTCCTGTTTCTTCGGCCCAGCGTGGTCTAACGTCTAAGAGAGATTGTAGCCTGTCGAGTATATGTAATCAGTGAGGAGAAGAGAGAGGGAGAACGAAAAACTTGTGAACACTGAATCCTCCCAAGCACTCATCCGTGATTTTCCCCCTCGTGCTGTCTTCTTCCTCCCCAAGCTGCTTTCCTCCCCCTCCTACCCTAACACCCGTCTGGCCATTCCTTGTAAAACTTTGCCAATGTGGTGTAAGACAAAAGCTTTAGAAAGTATGTCACGTACAATAATGAAAGTGTAACCTTGATGTCACTTCCCCTGTAATCTTCTTTATGGCTTGCATGGAAGAGACTGATTGGCACAATCCGCAACAGTAGATTAAATAGCCATATAAGTAAAGAGCAGAAATTACCACAGAAAGGTGCATCTCTGTTCTTATCATCAAACTGAAATTCCTTGCTATAGATAAGATCAAAAGTTTTGGAGAGCCCTACACGTAGAGCCTCATAAACGGTTTCTTTGTCCAGTAACCAGAAGGATTTCATGTTAGCCAAACGGTCATGGTAGGCATATATATGCATAGTCTACAAATAGCTTGTCAGTTATAGAGAGTTGCTCTATGTGTTTTCGTCGTTCATTAGACTCCAATGGTGCGGGATCTTGGTTGCATTGCACAAAACCTCGTGTTTCTTGTAAGTATTCTTCAAGCTCAACTTCTCTTTTCTTTGTCTTGGTCCTCGGGGCAGGACGGAAAGAGCTGACTATGCTATTAAAGCTTGCCCTCTTGAGAGCCAAGGGCTTATCGAAGCATTTTGAAAACACCAATGATGAAGAGCAGAATTGCTGCAGCTAATAACCGCTTATCGGCTGAGGGTGACCATGACTTGCAAAACACGTAGGCGACCACGGTGACCTACAGAGTAGTAAATTTGCAAAATTAATAATACATAAGAGAAAAGTTTGCTTAATTTGTTTCTTTTTTTCCTGACCTGAGCCACTGCAGTAAGAATGTGACGCCTCCATAGTTCGTTGACTTCGATGTTGTATGCAGATATATTCATCTGTCCACCGAGGTGCATAAGCAAGATAGGGGCCCATAACACCTCTAGATCACGGCTGCCATTTACAGGCTGGTGCTGGTCCTTCTTGTTGCGATTAAAGAGCGTGGCGAGGGCATAAATCGCTAGAGCATCGCCGCCTAGGTATGCCAGCCAGATGAACAATTTATACAATGGCTTGATATGCTTCTTACGAGAACTGGCAAATAGAGCGAGGTAGCACTGATCGCTGAGCCTGCCCATGACCAGGATGCGCAGCTGCCACTCCTCCCACCATTGCACAGCACTTGAAAGGCCTATTGCATTTGCATTCACAAACTTGCTCTGGCCTCACAGGCAAATTAGTCTGTGCACTGGTTTACAGGCACCATCCCAATTTATCTTGTGTTATATATATGTAAGCCAACATGGACAGCTTCCTCAAACAGAGTGGTATTACTTGGCATGGCCATTGAATGCCTCAAGACAGCATCGACGCAGCAAAGTTAACCTTATTGCAAGTGACAGGAGAGAGAGGAATCCTCTCGAATTATATTGAACAAACGACCAAGCAAGGAATGGGGTCCCCTTGGAACATCATCACCTTTATTCAAAGACAAAGAGCATTGCTGGTTGCTGGATGGGATCATAGCATGCCTGGAAATGTTCATGGTGCCTCAAGTTGTCACAACGTCCAGCCAAGTTACATGTTCAGATTAAAACGACAATTAAAAAAACAACCCATACTTTTCACATCTACGTACTGTTATCTTAGTAATGCAAGGTTTGTGTTAGTACATATACATGAAACAGGAACAAAAAAAATAAACCAAAAGTAACTCTAAATCCGTATCAAGTGAGCCTTGCTGCGGTAAGACCTCAAATAAATGGCCCTTGATTTTTAGAACTAGTAGGACAGTTAAATAAATTATGTAATCAGAAAACAAGGAAAACGAAGCCCTGAAATCTTGCCATATCCCCACGGATTATCCTTGCCTCTTGGACTGGAATTAGTATGTTTCAGCTTGGGTTCTACTAACTTTGCATCTTGAAAACACTATGTGAAAAACAGCTCAAGCAATGGGGCTTTTTTTAGGGGCGGCTGGCATTGGAGCAGCCCTACAGTGGCGTGCTCGGGCTCCAGCACAGTAGCCGCCCCTACAAATAGCACAGTATGGGCGGCTGGTAATACGAGCCGCCCCTACAAATACGTCGATTTGTAGGGGCGGCTGGTATGTAGAGGCGGCTTCTCCTTCACGAAGCTTCTCTTCCCCTCCTCTCTCTCTCTCTCTCTCTCTCTCTCTCTCTCTCTCTCTCGTGTTCGCTCTCTCTCGCTCTCCCCCTCCGACGCGGACAGGGGGTGATGGCGGCGGCGCGAGCGTCCGCGGCGGCGGCGCCCACCATCCTCCTCCTCCTCCCCAGCCCTCCCTCGCCTGCCTCTCACCTCCGTCTCTCCCTCCCCTTCCTCTCTCTCTCTCTCCCCTTCCCTCCCGAGCTGGCGGCTGCTGCGAGGCGGCGGCGGCGGCCCCCTTCAGCCGGCGCGGTTGGGGCTCGGCGCCCCCCTCCCTCTCCCACATCCTGCGCATGGAGATCGTCAACGCCTTGTCCCTCTGCTCCATCTGCTCGTGTGCTACAGGTGCTACAGAAAACCCTAGCTGCCTGTTTTCGAGCAGGTGTGTACTGATGCGTTCATTCTACTGGTTCAATTGGTGATCTTAGTTTATTGTTTGTTCTATGAGTTTGTATTCTGTTTACCTGGGTTCGGGCCTTATTTCATACATGTGCAATTGTGCCTAGATGTATTCGATGTGTACTAATCCTGCGATATGTGCGGCGTTGGCAGATGATAACTTTGACCAGGTATGTATTGATGCGTTCATTTAATTGGTTCGTTTAATTGTTGATCAATTCGGTTAGTTCATGGTTTGATCTGTGAGTTCGTATTTTATTTTGGTGGCTTCAGGTTCGATTTCGAAATGTACTGATCCTGCGAAATCGTCAGTTTATGGTTTGAACTGTGAATTTGTATTTTGTATTAGTGGGTTCAGATTCAATTTCATAACTATTCAATTTTGACTGGGTATATTAAATATGTGCTTATCCTGCGATCCAGTACCCTCAGGCTAACTTTATTTTTCTGCCTCTATCAAATAAATAAGGGCTTCATGGTCTGCCTCTGAATCCTCACAAATTCAAGATTCATAATTTTGGAGTGAAGGTAACAAATGTTTTTGCAGGATTGGCACTACGTATCAAAGTCAGGATATTGACGAAGGCACTACCTGTTACCTTGCCCTTGCCGCGCATTGGTCCGGTATATTTTCCCTAACTGCAAATTCTATTTCAAATCCATATATAATCATCACGTCTTCTCAGCTAGCAATGCATTGGTTTAGTACCAAATGTTTAAAACTCACAACTACCGATGAATTGTTTTTCTACACTTTCAAGTAATATGAACCAGCCATCCCTTATTATTATACTCTGCAGTGCTGATTGAGCCATCAAATGTATGATTCATTTTCCTACTGAAGTCTGTAGGTAATTGCTAGCCTTACTTACCAATATATTTTATATATTCGATTGTCATTGCTGAAGACACCAACATTATGTACATGATATACGAGTGCTCAAACTTTTGGGCCCATGTTTTTGCAGGATAGTTAGCCGATGGTAGAACAGATTTGTTGTTGAAGGTTAGTGCTCCACAGGTTCCTTTCTGCCATTCTTTTCTTTTTTAGATCCAACCCATAAATAGTACTGCTTATTGAAAGTTGCAGTGGGTAATGCAACTGGTACTATTTTAAATGTTCAGGACCTTTGTTGGATGCCTAGATGGTTTGCCAATTCATTTAGGTGTTCCCTTTTTCACTGAGGATGTATGAGCCGGCCATGGTTCTCAATATGTACAAATTCATGTGAATAAAGTGCTCCCCTTCTCTTTGTGTATGTTGCTTTTTTGGGTTCCCGCAAATATTCTTAGTTATTATTCCAAATCATTTTCAGAATGGTAATGAAACTAGTACTATTTTAAGTGTTCAGGTCCTTTGTTGGATGGCTGTTTATTTTATTTTTCAAACTGATGCTGCCTTGCCTCCCTGCGAAATTTTTTGTCTGCCAACTAATACTGCTTTTCTTTCTTTGTACTCATGCTGGTTATGAGCATAGCTTGACATGGCCTTCGTTTCCCTTCTCATTACAAATTCTCATTTGTAATTCGGACCTAACAGACATAGGCATCCAGCCTCGCGTGAGTTCGCCATCTACCTCTTCATTTTTATCTGCCAGTGTCTAAGCAGCCGGTTGGCCTTGCTGGACATCTTCTTCTGTTGGTGAGTATTACTATTTAGGATTCATAGAAAATGTAGGTGCTTCTCAAGGCCCGCTAGATGTCAATTCATGAATATATTCTCTGGATTTTGTTGTTATCAACATAAATGTGCTTTGCTAACCTATTCCACGTATCTGTGGTGTGACAAAAAAATCAGCCTCTATCTATAAACTGGATATGGTTGCTTCCTAAAACTTTTTCTGCCTACAGTAAATGATAAACTTGGTAGGATCACGTAAAGTTAGTGCTACATTTACATACACTACTATTTAAAATTGTAGCTGAATCTATTTTATCGGCCTTCAAAATTCCCAATGCAAACAAATTAATGAGTTACATGCTCTACTCTTGCCATTTCAGTAGTTTTGATGCTGTAATTTTTATAACTAATAATAGACATGCCTTCCTTAGAGACTTATTATAGCATTAGGTTGAGTGAAGAACACTATACAATTAACAATTCCTTCTTTATAAATAAAGATAATTTCATGTTTCCATAATTGTTGTGCACAAGCATCGTCTTTTTGTTACGTATAGGGCTCTACGGTTAAAAGAACATATTCTGAGGCCTTTCCTAATCGAAATGTGCCGGGGAGTGCAAGCAGCCTCTCATGAATGGTGATATAATGCATTTTCGAATTGGAATTGGAATGTTCTTGATCAATTTTGCTTTGGCTTTTGCTGCACTTCTTGCTACTTGCCCGTCTCTCAGTTTCCATGGTTTTGGCTTTCCGTAGATCTATCTTCTATCTCTGTGTTTACATGGAACTATTTACATGTACAGATCAAGGATCCTATAAATGTATGTTCTGTACATGTTGTGTATACATGCTAAACGATTCAGCTTTTCATGCAAACTTTTAACGTGACAGGTATTTCTTTTATGCCCACCAGGTACAACCATGTGTGTGTGATGCGTGTTCATTTACTTGCATATTTCATTTGGCTATCTGTTTACCTAATAACAGCAGTTAGGCAGTTTGAGTGATCACTCTTTTTTCATCCATGGTTTAAGAATATTATAAGGCTTCCCTATTATACAAAATTTCATCTTTATTCACTTCTCATCTTGCAATCAGTTAACACTATATATTGATTCCTGTTCTGAATTGTCGCATTTATCTCAAAAATATTAATCGCTTGACAGCTTAGGTACAACCATGTGTGTGTGTTCATTTACTTACAGATTTCATTTGGCTATCTGCTTACCTAATAACAACAGTTAAGCAGTTTGAATGACCACTCTTTTTTCATCCATGTTTAAGAATATTATAAGGCTTCCCTATTACACAAATTTTCATCTGTATTCACTTCTCGTCTTGCAACCAGTTAACATTGTATATTGATTCATGTTCTGAATTGTCGCGTTTATCTCAAAAATATTAATCGCTTGACTGCTTTTTGCAGGCTAATCACACAATCCATCAGCCCCAACACATGGGTTCTCTTCATTAGAGGTACGATGTCATCTAAATAGGCCATCCCTACCCAATTAAGTCGCCATCTGCTCTGATCATCTCAGCTCCAACATATTCTGAATGATCAGGTATACATCCTGCTCTCTCCCATTTAACTATTGACGAGAAGTGATGCATTAAGGGTTAATTACAAGCTATTAGTTCTGGTCGAATTTGAATTGTAAATTTGAATTTTTTTTTGCAGAAAAATGTACTGTAGGGGCGGTTCTAGACTGAACCGCCCCTACAAACATGTATTATAGGGGCGGCTGGTACTACAGCCGCCCCTACAAATCGATTTGTAGGGGCGGCTGATAACACCAACCGCCTCTACAAATAGATTTGTAAGGGCGGTCTGGGAACCGCCCCTACAAATGCATGATTTGTAGAGACGGTATGGTAGGGGCCGCTGGCCGAGCCGCCTCTACAAAGCCTCACCAGCCGCCCCTAAAAACCATTCCTGTAGTAGTGAAACC